TGTGCAGCTGTGAGATTTGCTGACGTATCAGTCGCACTATCTGGCTTAGTTGTATCTTCGTCTTCAGATGCACTCTCTTCTTCCTTCATGATTTTATCCTGCTCCATTCCATTAGTTCCAGTAGAAGCAACGCCAAAAACATCTATATCCATTGCCTCATCATCGTCGTCACCTATTTGCACCTCAGTAACTCTCTCGTCTGCTAAGCTCTCTGCACTCTCAGTAGATTCATCATTTCCTATATCTTCATCGGTGTCATTTTCAGATTCTTCAGCTTCGAGAAACAATGAAGAGGCTATTTCCATGGCCTCGTCCTCATGAACGATCTCTGTTTCAGATCGTATCTTGTCAAATATGTTGGAACCCGACATCATGCATTCTTCCTCATTAATGTCATGCACATTTGTTTCTTTTTTCATTTCCCCTTTATCCGGCACCAGTGTTTCAATTTTATTTCCAATTTCCTCTCCTGTGACAAAAGCTGTGTCATTTTGCTTTTCAGTTCTAGTCCTAAAAGAAACCTCTCCTGTGACAAGAGCTTTGTCATTTTGCTCTTCGTTTTCTGTTCCCAAAGAAACCTCTCCTGTGATAACAGCTTTGTCATCTTGCACTTCAGTTCTAGTTCCCAAAGAAACCTCTCCTGTAACAAAAGCTTTGTCATTTTGCTCTTCGTTTTTAGTTCCCAAAGAAACCCCTCCTGTGATAATAGCTTTGTCATGTTGCTCTGCGTTTTTAGTTCCCAAAGAAACATTTACTTCAGGTGTGACATTATTTATATCAACTGGAATTTCGGCGTCAAAATCTTTAAAATTTTCTTGTTGACAAAGCGAAGGAGATATAATTCTCAAAGTACTATCTGTTGAAGGATTTTCGTCTTGTTGGCCAGATATATTATGAGCTTCCAACTCTTTGTTGCGGCTTAAGATATGATCCGAGCAGTCACCATCTGATGGAGCAGAGGAAACAAGATCACTATCAAATCCTTCTCCTTTTCTATCAGTAGTGTTACTTTCACTTGATGATTTGTTGTAAGCTATACTCCCATCAACAGCTTCCATTGACAAGCTTTTGTTATTGTTTATGATATCACTTGTAGGATCTGCGTCAGTAACTTCTGAATTTTCTTCATTTTTCGTTTCTATATTGCCATTAAGATCATCAAGAGCTTCATGAAAGTTACTGTCATTTTGTGTAGAATTTTCGCTTTCAGTGGTATTTTCATCTTTGGCAGAATTCCGATGATCGTCCAAAGTTTCTGACCTCGTCATCCCATTCACACTTTGACTACAGTTTTCATCTTCCTTTGCTTGAGCCACAAAATTTTGAGCATTACTTTCAGGCAGATGCTCCAAGGTAGAAACTTTGTCCGAAACTTTGCTCAAAAGGCTGTCGATAGGATTCGCCGTTGCTTCTTGACTGTCACTGTCAACTTCACTGGTCAGATTCTCCATTGGTTCCACAGGCAAGCAACTCTCAATCACCTGTTGTAAAAAGAAAGAAATATAAAGTTATAGTGGATAACTTGCTTTGGTAAACTACAGTTCTGTCTTTTCACGGAACCATTCTAAATGATGACACAACCTTAACCACTGCCACAAATGTCAAAGCCTGCTAAATTTTCATCAAAACACGGATTAGAACCGTTAGTAAGAACCTTTCTGTTCTATATACCAATTTAAGATTGAATTTATGTTATTAAAAACACTGGTTTAGCCTTGCGCTGCTAGCATATTATAATGTCTGACGTTTTTAATAGCATATGCATGGTAAGCCAGACTATATTTACTTGGCAGCGATATGAACCTTAATCAAGATATCACTAGGCATTTTATGTGTGATATATTTTCATAAAACATAAAAGGAAGGTTTTCACCCAGGGGGTTGCTTGAACTTTTTATATACAGGTGTCCATCTGATAATAATGGGTAAACATTTTCCGTGTGATCTGATTCTTTTTTGTACCTGATTTAACAATATACCTTTTTGATACTTGTGGGTTGAACTAACACACAAAAAATTCAAAACGGGGTGAATAAAAGAGCAGATGTAATTATTATTGGAAAAACAGTCTAATTTGCTCAGTTTGTGCTCAAAAACAAGATTTTTATATTTTTGGATCTTATCAACACTTTTTAGGCGATAACTTTAGGTCTGTTAAATTTGTTTTTTGACAATTTTAGGTGAATCTGGATAACTGCGGATGGACCTCCCCGTATATAAAAAGTTCAAGTGCCCCCTGGGGGTTTTCACATCATTTGCTTCACATCATCAATTTATCTTTATTCCCCTTTGAAACGAATGGCTATTGCAAATCTCAGCTTGGGCAGCAAAGTGATTAGCAAATTGCTTAGAATTTTGCAGCCTCGCTGTTTATTCTTGTATTCTTACAATCCAACCACTTTATTTTTCCTGTTTGAAGAATTCCACCTCTTATTTTTCTCGCATTCTGAAATATTATGATTTTTACGGTGCCGGTTTTTATTTTCGAAAGTCCACAATCAATTTCTTGATTTCTGTTGTGGATAGTACCACTGGATTCTTGAACAAATTAATTTTTGAACTCTTAATATTTAATGATGGTTTGTTCACTTGAAACGGAATTGAAAATATTTGATATTTATGATCATGCCTTTTGTAATAAAAACTTTGTATGTTTCATGGCTTTTAGAATAGTCCTGCCTCCCTAATATATGTACGTTTTCAACAAAGGCTTTGCAATTAATGTTGAGATGCGAATCCCAAGACGGGATTGGCTTCTGTGTGCGTACGGTTGTTTATCTTTTGGCTTTATTCAAACTTGTGTGTAAATTAGGGTAACTGTGCGATTCAGCTCGAACGTGTTTTAAATTCATCGTTACAAAACGGTTGCCTTATGAGAAAAAAATATTCAATGTCCAATAAAAAAACTCTTCATGTCTTGAAGGAAGCGAGAAGACTTGAGAACTGCTGTCCCCATTTGTGAAAAGATATTGCCTACTCCAAAGCCTTCTTGAAATATAATTCTATCAATGCCATTAAATTTTGTGATAAACAAGCAATCAATAACTTCAACATATCATTGTGCAATCTTACATCTTATATCATGTAATCGTTGTCCACTTGATTCAAAATATCATTTAGGAAAGTGGGCTAATTCGTTTTCAAGGTTCTTAGAGTTTTCCTGTTATTGGTCAGAATTCTCTTCAAGCCATTCAGTTGAATTGAGGTGTTCTCAAGCCCACAGTGTACCACTAGTATCAGGAAATCAGTTTTCAGCTTTCTACTTTCGGTGTTAATCAAAGTGTCTCATTATTTCAATTTTACCTTTCTGCATTTTAAGCCCTATGATCTGTTATATAATTTTAAAAGTGTACTTTAAAATCAGTGATAAGTTTAAAAGTGTAATCGATGGCCCAACAAAATCCCCGTATAACATTGATTTTCGAAATCAGCACCCTCGAATTGACAATAAGCACTTGGTCCCATTAATTTCGCCCTCAAGTGACCATTCCCCTATTCTCCGCCTTGTCTACTTGGGGATATTTCTGATACCAACAAAACACCTAGCCAGCAAGATTAATTTTGAAATTCGAACAGGTGTGCAAAATTAGATGGCCAAAAGTCACAGAAGGTTTATTAGTCCAACAAATTGGGTATGCAGAAATTATGATTGTGTGTTTATAACCCAGTGGAACAAAAGGTTTCAAAAGTGTTTTATGGTTTGCAACTGGTCATAAAAAAGGTTATTAAAAGGTCATTAAAAATCATTAAAAGGTCAAAGGGGCAAATGTCAAGAAACTTGCCACTCTTCAGCAGCCAGGCACTGTTTGTTTAATGTAAGCATATTGTAAATAATAGTTCTTGATTTTCTTTATGCAGTTGTATGCAATTTTAAATGAGCAAAAAATCTGTTTTTCAAGACTGGAATTTTCTATCTTGTGTTTTTGGGACCATTTCCCCAGTCTCTTTCAGAACTAATCACTAGCAGGTGATAAGCTGCATAAAAAAACAGTACTTTTGACTCAGTTTGAGTTGAGAGGCACCAATTCTGAAAAAAGTGCTTAATCAAACATGATGCTTATTATTACTTCTTTGTCTAATGGTAGGTGCTTATTGTTGCTGGGAGTTTACTTGAGTCCTGGGTGCGTAATTGGTTGTTTACAGTACACAGAGCTGCATGCCTTGATTTTTTCAGATGAGCTGTCAGTTGTCCTGAGCCAAATGTTTTCTTCAATCATGATCACATCATTTTTATTGCATTTATCACATTTTACTTTAGGTATCAAAAAAGACAACTAGTCTCGAAAAGCAATGTTTTCATGATGAATACATTTTTTGCTAAGGATCAAACAACAAACCATTTCTACTGCTCTCTTGAGCCATAGGTAGCTACTGTATAACCCCATATTCTATACTGTAGCTGATTGAATTGAGGAAAAATTCATTTTTATAGCCTATAAATGCCAAGACTAAAAAAATATCAATTGGAATTATCTTCAACTAATCTATTGGTATTGAAAAGGAAGGAAATTAACCATACCCAAGGAGCTAAAACTGTCAACTTTTGTACATCCAAATGACTTTACAAGAAAAATCTATAAGGTCCCCTTTACATGAGAATTTCTGAAGCACTTTGAAACTCAAAATGATGATACTTCAGTCTGGTTACTCTATGTCACTGTCAGTTTCCATGAAGGAAATCATCTCAGTTGACAAGAGAAATTATGAATTAACGCCTGTTGAGCAATTCCATTGTTTAAGTTTGCCCTGGCATGAAGATTATTCTATTTACAAGACAATTTCATGCTGCTTTGAAAATGGATGCTTTGAAAACATGGACTTGAAGTAATTTTGAGATTTAGTTTTAATCTTTCCTTGTAGACACACCAAGGGCTTTACCTAGACAATGAGCTAAACTATTGCAAATTTGAGTTTCAAAGTTAATTAAAGATGCGAAATAGTCCTTAATGTATGCAAAGTAGATGAAGATTCTCATACCTCTGTGTGTTCTTTCCCTGTGCATTGTATTGAGTTTTCTTCTACCAGTACATCACTGGTCATCAAACTCTTCACCTCACTTTCTGGATTTGCTGCATCTGTAGCAAGAGTCATTTGGTCTTCCTCCATATCTCTATGATACCTAGAAACTGAAAGAGGATGTTGTAACACTGCAACTCAAAACTATCATGGTTTATTACAAGAGTATTTGAAATTTCACGAGTCATTGATTAAGTCATTCCTTTTTACCACAGTTTGCTGGCAGTTTTATGATAAATCTTGGTAAAAGTATTTTGGGGGTGTAACTAGAAATAAGAATTTCTTAACACATACATTTTGGCATCCAGTTTTTGTTTTAAAAGATTAACCCATTTTAATAAATATTAAAAAAGTGAATTTTAAAGAATTAATTTTCTTTCTTGGACAAAATAGACACTAAGCTCAAATATTAGCAAGCTTGTAGATACAACTTTGTATACAATGCACCTGGAAATTGCGGGAATTGGCACCAGAATAAACATTGTATAAGAGACTGAAAAAATTCTGAAATTAAAACTCAGAATGTTTCTTTTTCTTCTAGGACCAACCAAGTGTTAAATTTGAAATCTAAAGAAAACAATCAGTCCTTTAACATATATGGATGGGTCTCCATTTACAGTTTTAGCAATGTTTCTCAAACACAGATGGTTTGCATCTGGAAACATGTTTCTGTCACAGTCACACAGCGTATTAGATTTCAGAAACTACTAGTACATTACTGACACAGGTTATTATATACAGCGTTTTCATAATAGCTGATTAGATAGACATAATGGAAGGTTCCGGGTCAACAATCACATGAAGATGAACATAAATCATTCAATAAGCTCAACACCCTGAATAGGCTCCCCATGAATAAGCAACCAACTTTGAAATACTTTTAGGCCCCTTTCCCTCAAATTTAAGACCCCCAGTAATCAACATTTGATCCAGTTTTTCTGATAGATTGCATAAGATGAACCATTGGCCAGCTGCCAATGCTAGATAGAAAAATAACAACATTTGTAAAATTTTGAAGATATACAAACTAAGAAGATGATAGAGGACTTTAGATTACAGAAAATATAAGCACTAAGATAGGTAAAAGGAAGCCAAAGGCAGGAGGCTTTGTTGATTAGAAGATGCTGCCGTGCTGTAGGCTAGGGAAAATTGCCTGCAACATTGCTACCGATGGAGCAAGATGTGACTGTAGACATTCTTTTGTAGACAGAAAGAATATTGTTGAAAAGGTAAAAAACTTATAACTGTAGAAAATGCAAAGAAATCAAAGGTTGGAAGGTGGAAAACTATAACCTATGTGACAATTATGGTACAAGAAAGATTGGGAAGTGATTGGCAAAAGTTTAAGCAGATTCTGGACAAATCATGGAAACAATTGGTCTCCTATATCTAATTTATATTTCAGTGTTTAAAACTGGACAGCATAAAGAACCATGGGAGAGAGCTGTAAAACATCTCTCAGTGAATTATATTTGTGTCTCAAGTAGATCTCTATTTCTATAAATACTACCAAAAAATTGATATGTAAGTTAGCCAATTTATCAATGCCTTGCATTATCATGTTGTTGTTGATTATAGAATTCCCTTTGTACTTATTTGTACCTCAAATATGCAAAATATAATATCAAGGCACACTACAATATACTAAAATTCAATATCTAAAATCACATGGTTATGATCCACATGCCGGACCTTTTTAGTTATCAATCTGTGCTTAGTTTTATAAATGCAAAGAATAATTATTTTTCAACCCAATCAAGCAAAACAAACAAGCAAGAATTTAGTGGAGAGCTTTACCAAGGTGATCCTAGACCAAACATCCAATGAGTTACAAAAAACATAAAAACATCTAAAGCCTGGTGATTTGTATTTTTACAATTGAGATGGAGATCACTTCTCTAATTTGTCCAGCCAAGCTTTATCAAGAACAAGTATAATGCATATACATAGAATGGCCCAGAAATTGAGCAAAATTGGTAAAATCAATGCAGTATTACATAAACTAGGTTTGGTCAATTTCCATTCCTTTATGCCTCTTTTTACTTCTTAGCAGAGCATGCAAGATACTTCTTAGCAGAGCATGCATATTAATGGAACTTCAAGGGGAAAAGTTGTTCCTTCCTGTTTAGTTTAAGGGAGCAATTTACAGCTTTCCTCCATTGATCTTCCTCAAATCACCAGCCCTGGTACAAGATTCTAAATTAGTTTAAAATCTGATATCATGATATCCAATGATGCACTTATAGCAGGTATAGACCCCTATAATATTAAAATTTTTAAAAGGGCTGTGGAACTTTTGTCAACCCCAGGTCTACAACTGTACCATTTTGCAATGACATAAGATATCTGGATGAACAAATAGGAAAATAGTCAATTTTCTTCTTGATGTTTTACTTCCTGAGCAAAGGACTTTAGTTTCAGATTTATTGTATTAGTTTTTGCCATGTTTTCATGATACACCTCTGTATAATTTAAGAACATATTCAATGCAAAGTTTGCACCAGAGCTGGTCAATGAATTACGTAATAAACTTAAGTTCATGATCTTTATTCTTAAAACTGGTTAAGGAGTTATATTAAACAGGCAAAAATGCATGTAATATTTGTTTTTAAAAGCATTCAAATTAATAGTAAACCATGAATAAATTCAAAGTAACAAATGTAGTTACAAAAGTAAAGGCTATATCAGGCCTAGCCCGGAAAGGCGCTCGATCAAGCGCTCGGCCTAGAGCGCACCCAAAAGAAGCCTTGTAGATTTATAAAGCCCCTAAAATGTAAAAACAGTATTACCACGCAGCAAAAAATTTCTTGGCCTTTGTCTAATAAACTTGATCAAGCATAAACAATCTTCCCAACAGACCGCAATATTATGATTTGCGTAAGATTACCCCTTGAGAAAAAAATTCAGCAAATTCAAGGTTGGGTTTTCAAGTACCATTTTTAATCTAATAACCCTCTAATAACCACCAAGGACACAGGCCATCAAGCGTATTCTCCTGCAGACTTATTTTATTTTCGAGCAAGCGTTAACTTTCTGTTGAAGTGTTATTTTCTGTTTTTTCTTAATAATTTAAAATCATCTATGCAAATCAGAGATCACATTTCGGACCAAATTACCGCATTACAGTTTATCAGTTTTCATTTGCTTTCGCGAGTAGTAGATGTTCTAGTGTGTCTAATAGAATGGATAGCATAAAAAGGAAAACAAAGTCAATGTTTGACTTAAAGCTATGCGTTCTCCTATATTTCTATATTTGTATTAAAAAAGTGTTCGCTGCACGTTTTGTTATTTAATATTATGGTGCTTTTGGTATCACCATTGAATTTCTTATTTAACACTCTTCCAAAGCTTTTGATTTGAAGCTCGATCTTCCAAAGCTCTTGAAAGATGCTCTCAAGGACATTTTATTTAAAGGTGCGAAATAGAGCCCCTAGAGTTTCTAAGGGGCTCGTTTTATGGAGCACCTTCATTTTGCTTAGAGCAAGGCCTGCTATAAACAATTTGAGATGCTCGCATGCATAGGCAAGCAAAAGAAAAATAACATTCTACAGACTGTGAAATGCATAGTTATCCACATTAAGTCATATAAGGTTAGTGTCTTGTGTTAACTGATGATTATGCAACAATCTTGGTGGCCTAGGGTTTCCAATAAGGAGGTGTATTGTTATTTATTACATCAGGCTTTGCATTTTGCATTACATCTAAATTTTGTAATTTTTTCTTGTATTAGCTATTTTGAACAAATGATGAATCATTCTTGATTTTGTCTTAGTTATAAGAAAAAATCATGAATCTCAGGTTCATGCATTGTTTTTCACTTGATATTAATGGAATATTTAAGTAGATTTTATGGGTTTCCAAATTTTAATTAAATAGAAATAGATTAATAAGTTTTTTGAAAATACTTCTTGGAATTTTTTCTTAAAAACTTGGATTTACTGCTCCCTTTTGGCCTATTTTGTAGGTTTTAAACACTCGATAAATTAAAAAAATCAAGGGAGAAATCAAATATTTGAATGGGATCAACCTTATGCATCAAAATTTGACTAGCAATGTTGCCAAAACAGATGGTACAGTTGAGCCTAAATCCTTTAGGGCTAAAGGTGAAAATTTCTGATAAGAAATTTTACTTGTAAACAAATCCAGACAAAGCAACAAAATTTACCTAACTTTCTGACACGTCTACAGTTTAAGAGAGGCTATAGCACACTACCCCCAGCCACTAAGCTCCTAGGCCCCCAAAGACACTAAGCTCCTAGGCCCCCAAAGCCACTAGGCTCCTAGGCCCCCAAAGCCACTAGGCTCCTAGGCCCCCAAAGCCACTAAGCTCCTGCCCCCCCCAGCCAACAAGCTTCTGCCCCCCAAAGCCAACTAATCCCGACCATAGCGCATGCTATTTACTTAGACATGGAGATCTTCGGTCCAGAGTTGTTTTTGCCAACATAGCAGTGCATGCATGCGCCAAGGGCCAGTAAAAAGTGCCTTGCCACACGTGCCAAAAAATTGGTTTTAGAAATACAATGAGAGAAAATAAATTGTATCCACGGATGTAGACAAATTCTTCAACTTGCTCAAATCAACAAAAGTCAAGATCTTGTTTTTGTTTTCAAACGACTGGATCTAGGCCGAAAATATGTACTTTGTTGTCACGCGTAGCTTCGTAATGCAGTTTTGAGCTCTTGGGCCTAGAGCTTCGATTGGGATCAGAACTTGGCCTAACTGATAGGAAAGATTGAAGTTCATTTTTTCAGGTATTATTTCAAGCCAACACACCTGATTAAATACCAATGATTTGCTTTCGTCTGTCCTTGTTTTTGCTGTTGAACATGTCCTACACAACGAACATGGCAAGAACCAGTGTTGTTTCCATTCGCGGAAAATTTCCCGCCATTTTCATTGGGAATCAAAACTGCAGATGGTTGCCATGTGACCCATCATGAGGAAACTGATCCCTGGAATTCTTGATTTTGATAAATTATCGCATAAAAGTTTATTTTCCAACGTAGCTACCTCCACTTCGGCGTAATTTCGCTAAAAACATCCGTGAATGTTCGCTTTAGGCCGTTTCGAGCTTGCTATTGTTTAATTATCGAAGATGATTGGACAATCTACAACTCTGCGCAAAGCAGAGTGCGCACAACAGTAATTCATTCAATGCGCACAATCGCCAGGTTGACGCATGCGCCTAACCCGTTAGTACATCAGATGTAAGGGAGTGACGAAACAATAATCTAGCCATGGTTCTGGACATCTGGCACTGAAAGCATTTCCACAGATATTTTATTTTTTCTACAAATTTGACCTACACCAAAAATAAACATCGCATAAATTTTCAATTTTTTGCCAGCCAGTTGTCTGTTTAGTTTCGTTTTAGATTCCACGCTGAATTATTTAAGATAATTAAATTTCTTGTTAATAGCTTTGGTAATTTCAAATACGAATTTTAGAAACAGATAGGGTGGATTAATAAGTGTTTATGTCCGTAGCTTACACGTCTATCAAGGACAGATTAATATTCAAGGCGAATAGAAAAGCAAGAGACCTAAGCAAAGGTTCTGTAGGACACCTTATTTCTCTTCTCCAGTCATATGGCTATTATGACGGTAATGAACGTAGCGAATGTTAAATGTTTGGGGGATCTTGTTTGAATATTACTGCTTCGTTGAGATAGAACTGTCCGAATGGAGCCTTAAATCCTACTTAGTTTGCCTGATTAGGGGGCTGCAGCCTTTCAAGCCTCTGTATTTTCTACACTTATGACCCAGTTGCTTGTAGAACGTCAGTTTTTGCTTTTTCCACTCAAGACAACTATTTACTTCCATGTCCGCTGGATATGCCTCCAGAAAGCAAAGGACCTATACCAGGTGCTTGTGGGATGTCGTACTTTGCTTCATCCAGTCTAGAAAGAAAACAATTGTTTACCTAGATAAATGGAATACATCTTCAAAGAATCAAGGAATATGTTTCACTCCTTTAAATTTCGAAGTAAGACCATCATCATGCTGAATACAGAATCCAAGTGTGTTGCAAATGTTTCTGAACCTTGTGTTATTAAAATCAAAGCAGCCACAATCAATAGATCCTGAGCAGCTTGTCGCTGATCAAGAAATGCCTATATTCCATACTTATCATGATCAAGAAATGCCTATATTCCTTCAGCTTATCATTTATGATTTCTCATTTCGTAAATTTCCTTACTATAGCCTTTTTAAATTTTGAAAATAACAATATGCAGTTTTGATACAATGACCTGCTGCAAATAAATTTCTGAAGATTGATTTTCCTGCCCCTATTTTGAATAATTTGAAGTAATTGGCATCAAATTCATTTCTAGAGTTGTGTTTGCACGAAAGCTCAATGTCGTGTGAAAGTAGTATAGTTGCTCTTTTCTACATTCTCCATCAGACTTCCATTAAACAAGTGTAAGTTTAGACGTGCATCACTGCTATGTATACTTTCAAGTGAATTATATCTAATTATATTTTTACATATAACTAAATATTGACTTTGAAAATAAAATAATCTTGTTTCTGAAGTTGTATCTGTTTAACTTTAGAACGGCCTATGACAGGTACCTTTAGATCGCTGAAACCCTTTACATAGCAAAATTGATGATCAGTTTTCTTGATTTACTCTGTCTTCTAGCTTTGCTTATTTGATTGGATATGAGTACAGTTTTACCATATGAGTACGATTTGACTGGTTCTACCTCAGGTTTTTAATATTGCAAAGACAACAGTGGATCAAATCACTGGAAAGCCTAATTAGCATTTGCCGCAAATCAAAGATGTCTGGCTTTCGTCTGAAATTGGCGTAAAATCCAGCTTCTATCTTCCTGTCTGTTAGCATCTGTATTTTCAAGCTCAAACCAGAATCTCTTAGCAAACATAGACACGATGGGCCTGCAATCCGATTGACTTCTTTATGAACCTAGTTCTATATGATCTAGAAAACGTATGAACGTACGATATTGCTTCCACGGCAATTATATTTCGTGGGAAGTTTTGACATTGATGAATTCATTTTGAAAAATTAGTCTTTCTATCAACTTCAACCCAGTGAATTGTCATTTTACTAATGTTCTGTATATTGTACATGTTCTTTTCAACCTATTGAAATCCGTGCATTTCCTCTTCGGAAGTACCTTTGAATAAAACTTTTTGAAATTTCACTAATATTTTGAAAATAAGCAGTATTTCTGCCACTGCTATGAAATTTTCTCAATTGTAGAATGCAAGTAGAGTTTGAAGTATGTAATTGAAGATGAAGGTTGAAATTTTGTTTCCGCAACACGTCACTTTGTTTCTGCAATACGTCACTGGCATCAAATTGACCTCCAAGACGACAGAAGAATCGTGCCTGTGCAGCCTTTTAAATTTTAGTTAAGCATCTATTGTCGTTACCTCTAACTCAATTCTGTGACAATTATAATCACTAACAGTTATAAACTGTGCTTCCTCGTAAGCTCTTGATTCTAAGAATTATGATTAGCAATTTTCTAAACAAGTGCTCGGCGGACACAGTGTTTGACCATTACACTAAGGCTATTTTCGTTGATGATTTTTCCTTTGCTGTGTTAATTGTTAGCAACGATCATATACAATCCATTTAGTTGGCGCTCTTACATCGATCATTAATTATTCCTTTTTGCTTCTGATTCCCAGCTGATCCTGAACGGAAAACATTACAGTATCACCTGCCTCACTGTCCTTCTGAATAGAGCTAGTTTGCCATTACAGTTTACATTTATAAGAGACATTCTGACGTGCAGACGTGATTCGGTAAGTCAGTTTCTTATTAAAAAAATTAGGTTAGCTTTCGTTTCAATAGCATTATTACATGCGTGAAATATTACATTATAGCGCAATATGTTCTACGATTATTGATTCTTGTTCATAGATTCAGTGTGATTTTATAAATTTTTTACATGAATTTAGGAATCAAATATTATAATGCCTGATATTGTAAAATTAAAAAGGATATCTTCATGCAAAAATTTCAGAAAGTAAAGCGATATTCAGAAATAGAAGACAGGATTATTCAAGGGTGTATACAAATTACAAAACATTTTAAAGAATCTACAGTTGATATTTATATCACATATCGATAAAAAATATTTCAATTTTGTCTTGGCTTTTCTAATTTTGTAAGCATCGTTTATTCATCCCATCCCATATTTTGCATTTAGTATTGGAACTCTCTCTTATTTGGTTCCTGTTTGCTATGGTACTCATCCATGATTTAATTGTTTGCCTTTGTAACAAGCTTTAATGTAAGAACTCCAAGTTTAACGCTTAATGCAATGATCAGGAAATTTTTCTAAGAAAAAGTGTGTTTGAATTTTCCAGATTGCTTAGGGAAGGGCTTAGTAAATCTATATGATACTTCGAGTTATCTAACTTTTCATTAAGTAGAAAATATTATAATCTTTTTGAAAATGAAAATTTCAGAATAATGGAAAATGATAGGAGACTGACTGTTGCGTCAATCCGTTAATAGATTGGAGTTATCCATCCATATCAAAACAAATAACGAATATGTTGTTAAAGTAAATAGATCTTGAAAGTATTGTTCCATCTTCCCACTCAGTCATAGATCTTTCACCCTAGTGTTTAAGGTGTGGCATTGATCGAAGAAACCATTGGGAGATAAGCAGCGTCCCTCGAGGACAGTTCCTGGGGTCATAAAACCCCTTTGTTATATTAGCATGGGGATCAGTATGATCTGTTGGAGCATCTCCGTTAATTATGCATGTACCAAACATTACTGCGATATTTTCGCGGCAAATCGTTCAGATTAGAGATCATGTTCGACTTTTGAGAGAATTTTCCAACTTGATTAGGCTATTCTGTGGATGAAACAGCAGCTGCTTTTCTTTAAACCCGGGTGAATGATACTTGGGGCTGTCTTTTACTCTCTCTAAGAGTTGCGAAAACGGGATGTTCCTTAACTGTGCCTAAATCGACCGTGGCTTTTCGTTTTGTATTTCCGTTTCCAAAGGGATAGACTGACTTGCAGGATTAGTTGTTTATCGTAACAAAGACAAAATTATATACCTCAGGGATGTTGAGACAGATATGTCTCTGGCATCAAATTAGTTTGAATGTGTCTTGTTCAACTTGAAAAGTGCCGTCCAAAAATTCGATATCAGGGGCATTGGTGGGGCATCATAATTTGACTTAGGCTGCCCTTTTTTCTTGGAAGTGTTAGGCAATTAAGACAGCAAAGCCAAGTAAACTCAACTGTGCTCTCTAAAATACCCACAATGCATCTATCATCCAATTCGAGTCCCAAGCTATCGCTTCTTTGTCATTGGCCTAAATGCAGTCTTGAAATAAATTGAATCAACTGAACAAAAAAATTCAAGTGTTATAGCAGAAACCGTGCAGAGGTGAAGCAGCAAACAAATGTTATGACAGATGATTTTGTGAAAAAATGTATACTGAAACAGCAGCCTCTTTTAAACAAAACCTCGCTAACCGCTAGCCATTTGATTTCGTTCACCTAGACGAACGAATATTCGTTAACAAACAAAGTAATTTGTAATCGAATTCGAATCGGTTGGACATCAGTCCAGTCTCGATTAAACGAGGCGTTAATTGACTTGCATTTTGTCCCGTCCCAGAGTAAATGCTAATGCAATCAAAAGAATGCTTGATATACCTGGGAACAGCTCAGGTTGATGAGGTCGAATTCAGCACCCTCTCTCTTACCCTGAGTGCCATAGCTGCAAAAAATTGATCCCATAAAAAAAAGCTGCAGAGACGAATGAGAGAGAGAAAAGAGAGAAAAAAAGAGAAAAGTTGTTTCACAAGAGTATTGGAGACAGAGGCACCCTGGGCCGCTTTTCTTTTCTTTCTCTTTTTCTTTTGTTTTTGTAGTCTAATTTTTTGCGGCTCTGGCACCCTGTTACCCTGGGGACCAGAGTGTACCTCGATTTCCAATGCTCTTGCCTCTTCCCTTAAAATCTTTGTGCGTCTCTCGGAAAGATCCTTGGAATGGTCACAGACAGGAAACGTTGGATGTTTCAATTTGGCTTCAATTTTCTGTTATCTTCCTTCAGGCTAGCCCACTTTCTCTACCTGCGACAATTCTCTTACGAAAACCAGGACACATGACACCTTCCGTCTTCCATATCAACAATTCTTTTTGGAAGCTATTTGCAACTTCAGCAAATCAACCTCAGCTATGCTCGTTCTCCAAAGAGCGAGTTGCGTTGAAAAGGTGTTACTGATATGTATCTTTAGAGCGAATTTCGATAGTTGATTCACGACAAAATGTGAAGATCAA